TCTAACATCTCAAAAATGTTCACATTTCCTTGCCAGAAGCTGTACTTCTGTAGGATGTTTCAGACAGTTTGATTATACGATTTTACAACACAAATTCCAACTGATGACAGTAGTTAGCTACAAGTCTTTTAAAAAACACAACCAACAAGGGGGCTGGAGATGCCTCAGTGGTACAGAGCACTGCCTATTCTTCCAGAGGACCCAGGTTCAATTCCCAGCACCCACAAGATGGCCTAGGTTCAATTTCCAGCATCCATAAGAGGGCTCACGACAACCTGCAACCCCAGTTCCAGGTCTCTATAGGTACCAAATATCCAAGTGGTGCTCAAACATACATGCAGGCAAGACACCCATACACATAAAATAGGTAAGTTTTTTTAAAAGCGGGAACAAAACTATTTTGAAAATTAAGCAGCTATGCAGATTTACAAATATCTAATATCTTTCAATTTAGAAAGCTCACATAGTTTAAGAGCCATCTATGCATAGATTCAGCACCCGCAACAATGAGCTTCATAACACAGAAAAAGTATATGGAAGCTACTTCTTTTTGGGGTGGGGGCATAGGGTCTAATGTCCTACAGACTTTCCTGAAGCCGGCTCTTATGGGGGCACTTTCTTAATTGAGGCAGGTTCCCTCTACTCTGATGTCTCTAGCTTATGTCAGGTTGACATAAAACTGGCTAGTACAATCACCAACAGTCAAACTCGGGAATCCCTCCCAAATGTAGGGAACACTGTGAGTTACTGTAAGTAGACTGTGGACGAGTGTCTTATCTACGCCTTAGCAAAAGGAACGGTAAAATGCTTGTTTTGTCAGAGGAAACAGGTCAAAAAGCAGCTGGTGCCGCTGATCTGGGAAGAGGAGAAAATGTCCTGGAGCAAAATGATCCCAGATGGGGGCTTCCTTCTTCTCCACCCAGGGTTAGCCCACTTCAAAATGAGTGGTAGAGGTACCCCAAACATGTGTCTCCAACCCAACTTGTGCTCTGGCTACCTGTCTTCAGTAAGCCAGTTACAAGAGCTAGGGAGAGGACAAAGAGATACGGAACGCCCCCAAGTCTGTGTTCCAGGGGACTTAAATGAGATTACAGTTTAAGTAGAGGATCAAAGAGAGACACTTGTAAGCAGTCATGGCCAAGGGGTAGTGCTGCCCACCAGGGAGCCATCCTTGTCTGGGATTTGGCCTGATAAGTAGTTAGAGATGTGTGAAATCTCTTTCTAAAAGACTCGTTCCCCTCTGAATGGCACCGTTCCCCTCTCCCAGCATACTATTCCTGGAGAATCTTCCATCTCTTCGGAGTCCATTGTACCGATCAATAGTCCAGTTGAGGGCCACAAGTGTCTCTTTAGGATCTCTTCATTTCTGCTAGGCCTATAATGTAACAAAAGGCCTCATCCCACCCACCTCTCGCCGACAGAGCAACCTAGTCTGCCTGATTCCAGAGTCTGACTCCCAAGCTGTCCCCCAGAAAGTCACCCAAGGTCAGTTCTGGTCTCTAACTCACACTACATACTCCAGCTTCTCTCCAGGCCCAGGATCCAATGATATCAGCTTAGAGGAAAAAAAAAAAAAGAAAGAAAACATCATCCGTGGTCATGGTTGGGTGCCAAGGTCCCAATCCTGGCTCTGGATTCCTGTCCCATCCAGGCCTCAACTTCCCCATCCATATAGCCCAGACTATCTATAACTGGGCTGAATTCTGGTACAGTGATTTCCCAACCTCCTGTCCCTGTCATCCCTAGTGCATCTAAAGCCTTCCTCCCTTGGCCTGGGTGGTCTTTAGGAAGACAGTTCTGGCCCCAGTTTCAGAAATTAGAGTTGGCAAAGGGTCCAAGAGAATGAGGGGATGGAGCCAGCCATAGAAGCCACTAATCTCCATTCTTTCCCCCTAACTCCACCCCAGGGGACTACACAGCCGCCTCCGCTGAAAGCAATTTGTCATGCCCTGAATTAAGTGATTCCAACAAGGGTTTAATTTCAGTTTAATGGCTCTGTTTTTATGTGTAATTAAATACCATCGCATGGTGAAAATATGTTGTTTGCACTTTAGAGACTGTGTAAGGGCCCGGGAAGCCTTGTCCTGGGGAGTTTCGGCTCACAGGCTCCTGTCAGCCTGGCTGGGATTGGGAGATGACCTGAGGGGGAGTGGTGGTCTTCATGGCGCCTGCCACTCAGAGGAGTATGTTTCTAATTATCTGCATAACCCCTACTTCTACCCTTTGACCTCAACCCTCCCCAACCCCTGGGGCCTCAGACACAGAGTGGGCAGGATCTAATCAGACCCTTGGTTGACTAAGGTGCTATCTGTCCCACAGTACCATGTGTCCAGAGGCTGGTCCCTTTGTCTCCCCTCCTGTAGTCCTCCCAGACTTACAACTGCCCTGTCCATTCCCTCCCACCTCCCTGTGAGGACCCAGCCTCTCAGCTGCTACTAAGCCTCCCAACTCCTTCAGCCTACTCCATCTGTGCCCTCTCCTAGAGCAGAGGTGGCGCTATTGCTACCATAAAGGCCTGAAACACACTGGGGATTTCTTTTTTTCGGGGTGGGGGTGGGGTGTGGTGGAGGGGGGTGGGGGGAGGGGGGGCGGGAGATGGTTCGAGACAGGCTTTCTCTGTGGCTTTGGAGGCTGTCCTGGAACTAACTCTTGTAGACCAGGCTGGTCTCGAGCTCACAGAGATCCGCCTGCCTCTGCCTGGGATTAAAGGCGTGCACCACCACCCCCAAGCCAGTAGGGATTTCCTTAACTAGGAATGTTTTGGGGTTATTTGCCAAACAGCCATGTGCCTTCCAGGAAGGAGGGCTCTGGAGGTGCGCAAGTCCTTGCATACCTCATGACATCCCTGGAGCAGCTTGGTGGCCGAGGGTTAAAGGGCTGGGATGATAGGCTTTTCCTGGAAGGAGCTAGGAAATGGCAGAGCCTGAAACTCAGGTCCCTTCTAGGTGATAGGACAGAGGGCTGGCCACCCTCAGCAGATCAGGGTTTGATCTAAGAGATGGGAAACGGAAACCAAATGCCAGGGCATGGGTGAGCCAAGGGATCCCCATGTCAAACCAGAAGGAAATACGTGTGTGTGTGTGTGCGCGCGTGTGTGACAGAGACAGAATGAGGATGCAGTGTGTGAATGTATAGGTATGCACATGTTGTTGCACACCTGTGGAGGTCAGAAGAAAACCTGCAGGAGTAGATCCTCTCCTTCCACCATGTGAGTCCCCGGGAACTGAACTCAAGTCTTCAGGCTTTGGTGGCAAGTATCATTACCCACTGAGCTACCTTGCTAGTCCAGATAGAAGTTTCTTGTGGAGGTAGAGCAGAGCGGACAGGACCTCAGTTCAAGGTACAGTGCCCCCACAAGACCATAAAAGTCTGGTCCCTGCCTCCTCTCTTGCTACTAGCGGCACCATTCAGGGACAAGTCAGGAGGGTATCTCAGAATCTGGAAATGGTGTGTAAACCAGTGTTGCTTTTATTTGCTTTGATACTTGGGACCTGGCCTAAGACCATGGAACAACCTATCCAGGAAAGGAGGGGTATTTGTGTGAAATGTGGGACCCCTCCAAAGCATACAACCTCTGCTATCTGTTGCAAACACCCCCTCAAGCCCTACAAAGGAAACATAATCTGTGGATGTTACATCATCTTTCCTGTCACTCAAGAGAGCCTCCAATTTGACAGACTCATAGAGCCTGATAGGTATGTATCTTGTGTACATGTGTACCTGTAAAATCCCATACTCCTCCAGTTAAGGAATCACCAAGCCACATTCACACACGCACATGCTCGCACCCGTGTACACCCACACTTGCACACGCATGCACACGTACACACACACACCACTGTATGTGTCATTAAGCGAGGCTCTGCCTTTTTTGGAGGTTCCTGAGAAGAAAGTCACCCATCTTCAAGGGTGCAAGGCTAGAGCCCAGCAAGAAGAGCTAAGGAAGAGGGATGAGAAGATATGCCTTGGGGAAACACTTCCCTGTATTTGGCTGACTGGACCCAAAACTTAATCTTCAGGCTGCACCACCTGACTACCTCAACATGCCTTGGCCTGGGTCACAAAAGATGGAGGCCAGGGACTAAGGGAACAATTCTCAACAGGATAATGTTGGTGCCTCAAAGCAATCAGACAGCTGCAGGCTAATCTGCTGAGGAGGAGCTGGAGGTAATAAAGAAAATCCAGAGGCAGGCAGACCTCTATGAGTTTGAGGCCAGTCTGACTTACAAAGCCAGTTCCAGGACAGTTAGTGCTACACAGAGAAACTCTGTCTCAAAAAACAAAACAAAACCAAAAAAGTTGGGAGCCAATGAAGTTAGAAGCAAGCCCAGGAGTCTCTGAGATCAGGACGGGACTGGAGGACAAGGACACAGACAGAACCCCATCCTCCAGGAAGCAAGAGACTCAACAGTCTCCAGGGTTCTTCTGACCTCCAGGGAAGAAACACGTATCAGAAGCCAGCCCTTACACACACACACACACACACACACACACACACACACACACACACGAAGATGGCTATGAATCTGAGTGGGATCACACTCTGAAGCATAGGATGGTGTCGAGAGTCAAGGGTTTCCACTCTTTCAGTCTTTCAGAATTGCATGTTGTAGCATATCCATTCCCCAGTCCTGAACAAGGACACCAGAGCTATGGAATGTTCTGTGATTTATCACCATGCTGTCCCTCGAGTGTGGCTCGTCCTCTCCATCCCCATCTAAACTAATAAACTCACCCAGTGCAAACCAGAGGAAATGTCCCAGCTCCACTGAGTACCTGATTTAGAAGCCAACTACGGCCAACCTTAGCCATTCCTCCAAAGTCACAGGGTCCCACCTCCAGTGTGGATGCCTTGGGAGACCGTTGAGGAGAGGGTTTTTGGTTTGCAGCAGTCCCCTACCAAGCACCAAAGGTCTGGGGATCACACAGGGCCCACCTCCCTCCATCCTCGATTCATCCTTGTCTCTAACCGTTTAAAAAAAATCAGCCAAACACAGTTATCTGGACACTTTTTGGTTTTGTTCTGTTTTGTTTTTTTTAAAAAAGAAAAAAAATGAATGAAAAGACATCACAGCCAACAAGCAGGTCTCTAAATCTATCCAGGCAAGCCAGAAAATGCCCAGGAGGGTAGTGGGTAGGACAGGAGATAGTGAGGGAGGGGGAATAGGGGGAGGGAGGCAGGGCCACAGGCAGTGGGCAGATGGAAAAATAGGGTCATCCTGGAGCGGTCATGACCAGCAACCACAATTAGAACCCAGGACAGAACTCGAGTCCTCCTCTCCATCAGACACACACAACTCAATCCTGCATCCTTTCTTCTCACCTGACTCCCTGCCCCCTGTCCTTCAGGCCTTCCTCTGACCCCATTCCTCTTCCACACAAAGCTCCCTCTGCAAGGTGACCCAGACCCAAAGCTGGGCCCTGTTCCCCAATCTCTGCCCCTGGAAGGTCTGAGGAATGAGAACAGGGGTCCCCAACTCCACACCATCCCACACTGACTAAGATGAGGAGACAGAGAGCAGTCAATGGTCACAACTTTCTTTCTCTCTGACTCCAAGAATGAGGTTTCTCTTCTACAGGCCTCTGGTGACCTTATAGGAATACCTCGCATGCCACAATCAGAGGAAATTAGAATGAGGCCTCCCAGGGCTGAAAACTAAAGCTGGCATGTAGTATGTTGTCCATACACATTTTCAGATGGCTGAATGAATGAATGAATGAATTCAAGATTGATTTGAAAACATACTGGGGCTTCCTGTTGCTACACTCAAACCTCTTGGGCTATCTAAGCCCATAGTGGGTACTCTAGGTTCAGGCTTACCCCATGGGCGGGCCACACTTGTGCCCATAAACACACACACACACACACACACACACACACACACACACACACACACACACACACATCAAGGGAAACTTTGGGCAGGGCCAGAGGCAGAGAGCCAGGACTCAGATCCAGCTCCATGTCAGGTCAACTCTACAGCCCCCTGGAGGACAGGGGCCTAGTAGGGAGCGCTGAGGACCCCACCTGCTGGCAGGCCTCACTCTTGGAAGCTGTCAGCCAGTTGGTGGCAGTCCAGCTCTCCCTTGGGTTCCAAGCCCCCTGGAAGCTTCACCCCTGTCTTCCGATCCACACACCAGCACTTGCCACGTTGTCCATCCAGGGCGGGGTGACACTGCCAAGACAAGGGCATGAGAGGTCAGCTCCCAGGAAGGCCAAAAGAGCCCGGGTCGTCCACACCACGTCCAGCCTGGCCCCCAGATCAGACAATTGCCCTTCCAAAATGATATCTGAAGGCAAGGGCCCCTTTTGAGCACCAGTCCCCAGAGCTCACTGCAGTAGGGAGACCTGTACAAGGAGAGTTCTAGACAGCTTCTTGCCAGGGACCTAAGAAGGCCCCTAGACTTAAAGGTATTGATGGATTGTAAGGCAGGGTTCATTGAAGATATTTCAGGTGTGTCGTGACTAGGCTGGGATTTGAAGCATGGGATGATAGCTGGGAGCAGAATCTGGATCCAAGTCGGGGTGAAGGTAGTAGCATCAGGACCACAGCTGAAGTTGTGTCAGGGACTATGGTTAAAACGCTAAAACACAAGCCAGGTAAAGTGGGAAGCCCAGGTCCGAAGCAATTGGTCTAGATGTGGTAGCACAATGCCTGTGACCCCAATACTTAAGAAGCAGAGGCAGGGGGATTGTTGCAAGAAACTTAAATTAGAATAAGCCAAGGCCAGAAGAACTTAGGTGGGGCTAAAATTCAGGTCAGAATTAGACCAGAGTGGGGGTGGGGGCATAGAAGCATATTTCAAAGCCAGACTCAAAGTTGGAATGAAGATTGGCTCAAGACTCAGAATTGGTGTGGGGATAAAGGGTCAGGTGTCACAGCTTCTTGTTGCAATAAAAATTAGATGTGAAAGTACACGTGGCATTATATAACATGAAAAACAAATCCCAGTGTAATCCCAGTATGTTGGATTTCAGTTAATACTTTATCAGTTCCATTAAACACCCCACTACTGTTCGGTATGAATAACAGTGTGATGAAGGCACAGTATAAACTAATTCTGCAGCCGGGCGTTGGTGGCGCACACCTGTAATCCCAACACTCGGGAGGCAGAGGCAGGCGGATCTCTATGAGTTCAAGACCAGCCTGGTCTACGAGTCGAGTTGCAGGATGGCCAGGGTTGTTACACAGAGAAAACCTGTCTCAAAAAGAAAAGAAGGAAAAGATAATTCTGCACGTTCTCCTTGCTTTTCCACAAACCCCAAGACTGTTTTTAGAAAGTCTAATGTTTTTGTTTGTTTAATTGGGGGGTGTTGTTAAGAACCGAGGCAGGAATTTGCGTCGAGATGAAGGCTGAAGAGAGGCCAGGCACTGGCTCTGGACCCTTCTCTGGCTCGTCACTCGTTACACGCAGCGCCGCCACACCCTCCTCTTTCCACAGTGGGTACAGACCCACTACAGGAGTGTCACCCTCCTCGTGAGGCCTCTGCTGGCTGAGTAGCAGCCCATAGTGGGGTGTTTCCATAGTGGGAGGGCCACATATGTACCCGTATTTGCACAACCTAGAGGAGAACCAGGCCAAGGCTCCTTAGACCACACTCAGCACGAGGCTCTCCAGTTCTCTCCTCAGACACGCCACCCTCCTCGTGGCCAGAGATGAGATGGCGCGGGCTGCTCCTGCTGTACATGCCAGCATGCCGGGCATTCTGAAGGAGGGAGTGAATGTGACGCCACTACCTGATGCTTTCCCTCCCGACCTCTTTCTTCTGCTTCCCTCCCATGTGACTGTCTCGGGCCAGCAGACCCAACTCTACCTCTATCTTTACTGCACCCCGGGATTCTGAGCCCAGCTGCGGAAGCATGAGCTCTTTCCTCCACGACTTCTCATAAACTTGGGACCTATTCCTACGACCGGATGAAGCTTCAGACATCAGAGACAAGGAGCACTACTTTGAGGAAAGGAGGGGGCGGGGGCGTTGAGAGATGGAGAATCCTGAGGAGCTGCAAACATCCCTGGAAGGAAGGCAAGCAAGTTCTGTTACGAACTCACTCCACGGTGTGGGATGGCCAGGATCTGTCTAGTCCTTTTTGAGTCTGTCTTTCATCTTCAAATGAACAAGGTGGACAGAACGTGCTGAGCGTCTTAGGCTACAGTAGGGCTTAGGGAGACCCAAAGGATTGGTTTGGGTTTGGGGAGCTTCCCTTCCTAAGATATCCCTTTGTGAGCCTCCTGCAGAGAGAGCCAGGAGCTCCTCAGGATGAGGCGAGGACCTCCCAGCAGGAGGGGAGACCCACCTGTTTGGGGTGGAAGTTGCCGTTGCGGTCACAGTTAGGAATGGGGATGATGAAGAGGTCCTCGTGGGTACGGCTCTGAGAGGCAGCCAGCCGCTCCAGGGCCCGGTGCAGCTCACTCTGGCAGGAACCCTGGGGCTGGGGAGCGAAGAACAAAACTGCTTAGCAGAGAAGAAAGGCAGGAAGACCAAACTGGGGCTCTGAGCTTAAAGGGGGCTAAAGGCCCTCAACAAAGAGTCAAGGCCTGAGTACCAGGCGGGGCACAAGAAGCGAAAGCAGAAACTCAGACTCAGCTACCAACGGTGGACACTAAGGCATGCCTAACAGAGCAGGCGGTGGTGGCGCATATATGCAATCCCAGTACTCTGGAAGCAGAGGCAGGAGGATTATTGCAAGTTCAAGGTTAGCCTAGTATACATAGAAGTTCTAGGCCAGCCTGAGCTACAAGTGAGATCCTGTATCACAAGAAATAATCAGGAAAAGAAAAAAGAGATTTTTAAGGGAGGGAGTGGTAAGGAAAGGGGCCTTGGGAGCTTCCAGGCCTAAGCAAAAGGAATAAACAAAGTGACACCCACTGGAACAATTAGCCAGACCCTAGAGCAGGATCCCAAATCCTCTTGCTACAGCCAGCTTATTTTAAATCCTTTTGTTTCTAAGACTTGGACAAAGAATCTAAGAAAAAGGACCAAGAGCTAGGCGGTGCTGGTGCATGCCTTTAATCTCAGCACTTGGAGGCAGAGGCAGGCGGATCTCCAGGTTCAAGGCCAGCCTGGTCTACATGGTGAGTGCCAGGACAGCCAGGGCTACACAGAGAAACTTTGTCTCAAACACCAGGAAAAAAAGAAGAAAGAAGAAAGAAGGAGAAGGAGAAGGAAGGAAGGAAGGAAGGAAGGAAGGAAGGAAGGAAGGAAGGAAGGAAGGAAAAAAAGACCAAGAAATACTAGGGAGTCTGGACCAGACCTGCTTTTACCAATCACCTCAGCTATGCCATATTTACATGCCCAGCGGAAAAAGAATCACAAAGAAAGAAATGATTCTCCTTGGACTCTCATCAGAGACATCTTGCACACACAGGAGACTTCAGTGTTTGCTGGGTGGACATAGCCCAGATCTAGTAATGGAATTTCTACAAGCATACACATCCATGGATCAGAGGTGCTCACCACAGGACGGGGTTCCTCCCGTGGTGTCCCCACGACCTTCATCTTGCTCCGATCTCGCATCTTGGCCATATGCTTCTGCAGGCACCTATGATCATGGGCACTGCAGGGGTTGAAGCTGTTGTTGGGATGGTCGCTCTCATCCTTGTCTGTAAGCCATGGGAGAAAGGCAGAGGTCAGCATCAGAAAGAACAGAGGTTTACACTCCTCCAACCTCCCACCTGCTTCCTCCCCCCCCAGGAGGCTCCATAGCGCCAGAGAGTCTGCCAGAGTCTCCGTTGGAAGGAAATATGAGCAGCCCCCATCTCCACCCCACTCCTCTGGATGTCTTTGGAAGAATATTCCTCTTGAAGTCCTTGATTTGTTCCCCACCCCACCCAGTTCAGGATTCAGATAAGTCACCAGCTGCAGCCGCCCAGATGGCAGAGGACATCCCTTGGGCCCTGCAGGGAGGTCTGAGGCAGGCAGCAGGAGGGGGGACTACTGGATCTTCTACCCACTCTGTTCAGCTCCTCCCACCATCCCCCTCTCCATCTGCTCACTCTTCCTGTCTCTTTCCTGCTCTTTCAGCATCTGGCTGAGCCTGCCAGGGATCTCCAGGGCCAAAATCATATTTTCCATGAGCGAGGAGTCTGGCCCCAAAGGTTCTCTCACTGTCTGGGTCTGTCTGTCTGTGTGTGTGTGTGTGTGTGTGAGAGAGAGAGAGAGAGAGAGAGAGAGAGAGAGAGAGAGAGAGAGAGAGAGAGAGAGAGAGAGAGAGAGAGAGAGAGAAACTGTGTGCTGTGTGATCCCCAGGACAAAGAAAACAGCCACACACCTTTCTCCAGCCTCTACCACTAGGTCTCACATCTTTAAACTTGAGGCCCCATTCAATGTCCATGTGAGTCACCCAGAAACAGGCAAAGGGCTGCCTGGAGATGAGAATCATGAAGCTGGACCCTGTCTCCATGGCCTCTCCTGAAGGCTCTATGTGAGCTGCCCAGTCCAGAAGGCCCTGCATTGTGACCACGCTGCTTCCTCCTGGCAGCCAGAGCCGGAATGCAAGGCTGAGCAGGGAAGGAGGCTGGAAAGACTTCTCAGCACATCAGAGCCACCTCTGAAATGCTCAGACTTGGCCGCTCCATGCAGGCCCAAGTGCAGAGCCCCTGCCAGCATTCCAGATGTTGGCAGGCCGACAGGAGGTTACATCTGGTTTGCGTCAGGACTTTTTTTTCTGAGGAGTTAGCAGGTTCCTCCATACATGGCAACAGGCCCAGAGCTGTCTCTGGGTCAAATGGTATTTTTCTGCCTAGCCAAAGCTGGGGAGTTGGGTTTTGGTTTTTTTTTTTTTTATTCTTTTGGTTTGGGGGGCAAGGGAAGGCAACCATGTAGATGAAGGGACACCAGGCAAGGAGGGAATCTATACCATCCAAAAAATAAAACCTAACAGTTAAGATTCCACACCAAGATAAAACTGACATACCAGGGATAGGAGATTTTGTTTGAGTGAAGTGCTTGTGTAAAGTTAAATACAGAAATAGAGGAAGCAGATAGATACAAACATCCTTCTGCATATGTGACGAAAGGATAGGGACCCCAGACCTACATGAAGCTTGGGAGTCCGTTGAGGAGGATGGAGGATGTCCCCGGGATTCATATGATACAATTTCAGTCTGTTTATTCTCTCCTCATAGTCAGAGTAGCTTTGCTTCTTTTTGGTAAACACAAAATGTTTTCAGGTTCAGAGTTCAGAGAGTAAAGAAGAATTTGAGGCTGGGGTGTGTGTGAGCATGTGTGTGTGTGTGTGTGTGTGTGTGTGTGTGTGTGTGTGTGTGTGTGTGTGTGAGTGTGAGTGTGTGAGCATGTGTGTGTGTGTAGAGAGAGAGAGGGATAGGCACGTAGTTTACCCCTACACTGCAATGCTATGAGATTCCTTTCTGTATGCTGTGAATGTTTTATTGCCATTCCCAGCCTACCATCTTTTTTCTCTTCTTTTTCTTTTGTTTGGAGGCAGGGTCTCATGTAGCCCAGACAGGCCTCAAACTTGCTGTGTAATTGAGGTTGGCCTTGAATTCCCCCTCCTCCTAGCTTCACGGCCCAAGTATTGGATTATAGGCAGGCGCCACTATAACTGGCTCCTAGCCCTCATATTACTTTTCACTTTTGTTTTAGGAGCTTTTAAAGAAAGGAGTTGCTTCAGGAGATGAAGAGCATGCCCACTTTACAGTCCCAGAGCTTTGATATGATGAGCCCTAAAGAGTTCAGAAAAAGATGGCCAAGAGACCTGACCACAATTCCGCTTCCCAATGTGGCATTTCTGTGAGTAGAAACCAGCAATGAGGCGTCCTTGGGGGCTTATCCATGGGTATTTGAGATGCTCACCATTAGTGAGAACAATTGAATAGCTTGGTGAAACCTAGAGTCACATGGGACATAGAGTGAGCCTAGAAGCATTGCCTATGCTGATGTCATATGACCCCATGTCACAGAAGGCCTTAACTAGGCATAGCTGAGGCGGCAGCCTGCAGGCCACTGAGCATGAGTGTCTATGTGACCTAGTCCAGTGACCCCTGGTTCGAATCTACACTTAGAGTAAAACCCACCATTTTAGGAGAGTAGCTTCTCATCAGTCTTAAGGCATAACACAGATTAAGTCCACTCACTGACACAGAACCACAGATGTTTACATGTCCAGATACATGCTCCTCCAGGTGTACACATCTACACCCACTCAAGTACTCTGACCTTACCCTGGTCAAAAACATACAAACATCCCAGTATCTCTGGTCGTGGTTTGTTGACTCTCCATTTAATCTGTAACTTCTCCTTGTCCATCCAGGTTTACTTGGAGAGTCCACCTCACTGAGCTGGGGGGCAGGGTGCAGCGTTGAGCCTCTCAAAAACATTAACTTCCTAGTGCTATCAGCTTCTAATGCCCTCTACTGAGGTCCTGTTGCTCCTGAGCAGGAGCCAGAGGCAGACCCCTCCTCTCGTTAGGACTCCAAGAAGTTTGTCTAGAAAGTGGAGCAGGTCTAAGCGCCTGTGGATCTGGGCAGACTGCCATTGGGCAGAAATCTTGCTCTTCTCACCACAGCAGAGCAGGGCAAGGAGCAAGCCCCCAGGGAGTAGCTGTGTACAACTCTGGCCCCAGTAGAGGCAAAAGTTCCCGCTGCCTGGTTTCATCCCCATGATTTCTCCTCAGAACCACCCCCTGGCTCCTGCAAGACATCCACCCAGACTCAGACATTTCAGCCATGTTCTGGAGAGTCATCCACCTGACCACCAAAAACGCCTTTCTCTTCCTTCATCCCCTAGACCTTGGCTGAAGAATCCAAGACCACCCATGACAGACACCAGGTTGTTTCTTTGAGATTTTGGTCAAGAGGAGCCCCTTAACCAACCAACCCCTCTCTGCCCATGTGACTCTCCCTCACCCTATGCTCTGCCAATTTCCTCAGCTTCTTCATCCCCACCCACATATCTCTCCAACCTAGTGACCTTACACTCTGTACCAAACACTTCAAAACAATGAGGCATTTGATCAAGGAGGAAACTGAGGCAGCATGAGGAACGATGATTTGGCCACTTTAAGCATCAATAATTTAGGCTTCGTCGTTATTCAAGAAAACACTGGGCAGCCATGTTCTTCCTCTCCTCTCCCCTAAAGCACAGAAACCGGCAAGGCCCAGTTTCCATGACATGACTAGATTCCCAGTACCGAAGTAGGGACAATATTTGCTATGTTGATTAAAAATTAACCCAGTCTGCCTGTCCCTAGCCCTGTCCCGGAGGGACCTAGAGCCTGGTTTAGGAACTCCCTGTCTCAAGTTTGACCTCTCCTATTGAACATTCTCTCAGATTCCAAGAGTCGAGGGTCAGTACCACGATGTGAAATTGTAGACTTATGATGCATGCAGCTGTCCCCACCTCTGGTGGCCTTGGTAGTGCCTATTCCCCGTACTGTCAGAAAGGAGAGCAGGACAGGCTAGAAATGGAAGGGACAACCTGCCCCTAGAAAAAAATAAGGAGTGTTTGTGCCAAAGGACCACTTACTTACATGATCAACTGAAGCTTAGCCCCATGAGCCAAGAGCAGAAAGAACAGACTAACGACCTTTACCAAAGTACTTCCAGGATGTGGGTCCCAAACCTGGAGACCAAAAAGGGACAATGGCCTATTGACAATGTAAGGTGTGAGACAGGCGCTGAGCCTTGATCAGTGTTTCACCAGAGACCCTGCGAGACTGTTGTACAATTCTGTGGGGGCTCCTCCCATGATGCAAAGGTGCCAGGCCACGACAAGGAAGCACTGTGATGACCAGAAAGCACTGGCCACAGCTGGCCAATCGAGAGTCTAAGGTCAGCCAGATGCGCACGCCTTTAATCCCGGCACTGAGGAGGCAGAGGCAGGTGGATCTCTGGGAGTTTGAGGCCAGCCTGGTCGACAGAGAGAGACAGAGTCTGAGGACAGGGCTACAGGGGGAAATCTTGTCTTGAAAATAATAAAATAAAAAGTCTATCTCCAGGGTCCTTCTGGTTTCTGATTTTCTCTTCAGATGGCTGTACCCATGGTGTGGGTAGAAGACAGGGTCAGGAAGCAGGAGAACTAGCGACTTGAGCTCTGAATTCTAAAGGCGCCCCATTCCCGGAATCCTCTAGAAGTTGACTTGCCTCACACCCACAGAACAATCAGGAACTGTGCCAGGTCCTCCTAACCCACCAGGGGATCGGTTTTTCCTCCACAGTGTAGGGATGCTTCTATCCAGCCACAAGAGAAGGCTCTTACAGATCTCTTCAGGCTCATGCTCAAGTTGGAGAGAGAGACTACCAGCCATCCTCACCTGCTGCTAGATATCCACTAGCTGGCAGAGAGCAACGCCTCAAAGTGGGTATCCTAAAAATGCAGCCTTCTCTCTCCTGGTCTCACTGCCCCAAGATCAAGGAATTGCTCTCCCAGGACCCTCCTCCCCCCTCCACAATGCTGGGTGCCAGTCTGGCATTTCTCCCAGACTATTTCTGCTGAGCCATCTCTCCTTGCCCAGGCTGGGGCAGGAAGGGCAAAGAGGCACCCCTGGGATCCACCTCCTTCCTGTTTTCCCTGCATCCTGCTTTCCTCAGACTAATAAACTGCTGAGGATTGAGGAAGTGGATCGGTCTGGGACCCAGAGCATTCCGGAAGCTCAGGGCCTGAAGTCCCAGCATCCGGACTGCAACAATGGAAGAGTCAAGCACCAGGAGCAGAGAGAAGCACAGAGTGTGGCTCAGAAAGAGCAAAGCTATCCAAGGGACAATAACCAGAGCCGGGGAGACAGAGAGGCAGAACGCCCCAAAAGCAGCCCGTACGCAGAAAGAATCACCAGAAGAGCAAAAGAAGAGTCTGAGATAAAAGTGAGAAGGCAGCAGAAAAACAAATTAAGGCAGAGCGAGAGAAGGGAACTGATAAAGCTCAGGAGGGCGAGAAAAAGGAGAACTCGGACTGTTGGGTCAAGCTACAAGTTGAGAGACACAGCAGGAAATAACCAAAGGACAAGAGAAAGAGTCTAAGAAGAAACTGAGAAACTGAAAAGGAAAATACAAGATCAGAGCAAGGGACGTTCTGAAAATCTGTCTGCTTGTCCATCTGACCCTCCTCCCCTCTCAGTCCCACACACCAAGGTTTCCGAAACCCTGGGCTGACAGCCGGCACTTCCCTCCAGGCCCCTCAAATGGCACCTGCCAGGAGGAAGGCGCAAGAACCCTGGGTGTGCCAGCCTGGCAGAAAGAGCGCTCCCTGTTTGCACGGCTTTCGGGGAAGCACAAATCTCATTCATTACTATCGAAGTCCCCCTGATTTGTATGTCCCACTTCACCATCGGGTGATGACTGAAAAGTTCAGGCCCTGGTTCCTCACACCTTTGGGCTTCACCTGAAACCGGGTGTGGATCGAGCCCTAGAAAGGAACCGTCCCAACACACACACACACACACACACACACACACACACACACACACACACACACACACACCATCCTTATCGCAGTTTTCTAGCTTTCTTTTATAGCTGAATCAGGTCATTTAACTTACCACTGTCGCCTCAGGAGCCAGGCTTACCACTGAAGCCGAAGCCCCTCTTCACAAAGAAGTACCTGGGAGGTTTGAGATGAAGGGATGGACCAGTGGCAACGGGCACTGGGATTCGGTGCCAGTTTTCTTGGCTGTTTCAGGCTCTGCCACGTACCTCCACTCTCCTCAACTCCCTGAGGCTTTCATGGCCCTTCCAGGACAACCCGAATGGGAGCCAAGTTGCAAGGAGGAGGGCTGTTGGGAAAGGTGGCAAAGGAAAGGCAGGTATGTCTTACCAGAGGACTGCAGGCTTTCCTGGATGGCCTCGATCTCCGACAGCTCCGTGCACACGCCCTGCCCGTGCATCAGTGTGCGCAGGGGCTTCTCCACTCCCCGGGGAGGGTAGCAGCGCATGCCTGAACCACAGCGTGGGGTGTACACCCCGCAGGGCATCCCCAAGCCCAGGGCACAAGTGGCGCAACAACCGCAGCCAGGCTCCCGCACCAGCTCCTCGCAACCCACAGGGGGGCGGCAGCGCGCCAGCTTCTCCTCGGAGCAGGGGGGACAGTGGATGGCTTCGTCGCCCAGGCTCGGCCGAGGCCCTGCGGCCAGCAGCAGGACGGCCACGAGGCCGAAGGGCAGCATGGTGAGGACGAAGATGGGGCACAGAAGGGGAGCGCGGGCTCGCGAGAGGACTGCAAGGGACCCGGAGACAGTGCCCAGTGCGCTTAGATGACCGGACCCGGAGGGCGCAGGGACACGGGCCGGTCCCGGCAGGCAGAGACGGAGCTGGGGAAGTTAGCAAGCACGCTGGAGCGGAGCGAGCCTGGCCACCGAGGCGCTGCGCTGCATCCTCGGCCCGGCCCAGCAGGCGGCGGGGGCAGGGGGCTGAGCGGCTGCCCGGGACCGACTCCCGGGACTTTATACCGGCCCCCTGGCCACACCCCCAGCGCCGTCCCCGAGGTGGGAGAGCAGGGGCGGGCGAGGGGGAATTGGAATGAGAGAGGAGGCCGTTAGGGGGAGGGGGCGCTGGCCTGAGTCGCAGCCACCGATACAATATCTCAAAGTCCTTTGCTCCGCAGGAAAAAGAAGGACAAAAAGAAAAAAGAAAATAAAAAGGCGCCGTTTGGAAGCAGTGGCCGGGTGCAGAGTGCCTCTGAGCTTCTGAACCAGAGCCCTCCGGGCGGGGGCCGGGGGTGGAGAGCAAGGCGAGGAGAGGGTAGGGGATGCTGCTTGGACCCCTCCCTCGACCTCGAAGAATTCCCTCCCGGACACCTAGGCGACCCTCGTTCTGCCACTGAGAACCTGACCTCTTAGAGGACTCAAGGTCCTCGCGTTCAGTCCCCTTTCTTGGCCGGGGGCATCCACCCCACCCCACTCCCAGTACGTCCAGTCTCGAGCTCTGGAGACCGCACTAAATAGAGCGGGGCAAGGTGGTCAAGCACTCTGCAAGGGGTGCAGGAGGGGCCCGAGGCTTGAGGCGCTGGTATGCAGTCTTCGCACTCGCCCCCTGGATCCCTCGCCCCAGGTTCCATTTGAGCCTTGGGGCACTCAGCGTCCAGAATTCCACGACAAAGTGCCAGGCCTCTTCCTCCTTCTTAGATGTTTCCCCTTCTACTGCCTTGCCTAGATTCTGGAAGGAGACTGGCCTGGGAGACTGACATTGGCCATGTACAAGATGTGCGTTGAACAACTCCAGGGGGCACCACTCTTTGTACTCCATTGTGTATTTGTATAGTTATTGTGACCGTTTTCCAGTAGGTGGCAGTCAAAGATTTCCAGAAAGAGAAGCCTCTTCTCAATTTTCCCGACGCCACTTCTCCCTGGGTGACATCGTATTGATAAGCGTCTCTATCCCCTACCCCTCGCAGCAATCCTGTTGGAAGTGGGAATAGATCTAGAGTCCCACCTCCTACCTTCCTTTTCATTTCTCCCTACGCCTCTTCAAGTCCCCAACCAAGGATTTCTGTCTGTCGGGGCATAGTCGGAGGCCCGGTGGATTTTGGGGGTAGATGGAGTCGGGAGGGTCTGGCCTAAACATCTAAGGAGAAATCAAACTAAAGCGCAGCTCCTAGATCTCTTCCTGCTCTTTGTCCCTGGGCAGGGGGTATTTCAGCCGGGGGATTAGGCCACCTCCCACTTCCAGCAAAAACGCGGTTGGAGGAAGAAGGGCGCCAAGAGCCGGACCTAGAGGACAGACCAAAAAGTTGCAAACTGACGGCACCTACTGGCAACCCTTAAGGCTGCAGGAGGGCTGACGAGTTAGGACCAGAGACGAGGACTCTTTGTCACATCTCAAGGATAAAGTTGGATCCCTCCCGTCCCATCTGCCTTGGAGAAAGGTAAACAGAACAGGTTCTTCAAGTTCCTGGGAGGAAGCCAGCGTTTTTCTGATTCAAACGCCAGTCCCTGCCCCCATTCTCTTCCTTAAATTCTGTCGACTTCCTACTTAATGGATGAACTTGAAGTTTATCTCTAGCTAAAAAGAAGGCTGATTATCAGCCTCCTACTCCACCTCTTGGAGCTCCTGTGGTTATAAATGAACTAATTAAAGACAGTTTTGAAGCCCGGTGCCCAACTTGTCCACCAGACAGCAAACCCCAGATGGATAGAAACCCCGGGATGAAGCCAGCCTGGGATGCAGTATGAGTGCTGGCGAAGGTTTCTAGATGAGACAGATGTTCCCACTCCTCAACCGAGCACTTCCTCTGCCCCCAGCCCAGCCTCTGGTGTCCTCCCCATCACTGACTAGACTCAGAGACCAAGCACTCTGTCCACACACGATATGTCTACTAAGCACCTATTGTTCCAGGACTTCTTGAGAATAAAGAGATGGCCAAAACCACTTTGCCTCAAGGAGAGAAGAGATAAGTGGGTAATGAAAATACATTTTCTAAGACATGTACAGATGCCCTGGGAGATATTTATATGGGACACATGGCGACCCAGAGGCATAAACAATCAGTCCTACCTCTGGGGCATGAGGAATGTTCCCTGAGCAGGTGGCCTGAGACCAAGTCTTCTGTGTTTAAGAATAAAACTGGTATCAGCGTGGTCAGACTAGACTATCAGTTCAGCATTGTCACTTGGTCCTCACTGGGGACCCGAAGCTCTGAGCTCTCAGGGCTTGTCTAGCAAGGAGGACTCTGCAGTAAGAGACAAACCGCTGTGCAAAGTGCCTGGAATGAAATAGATACCACGGATTTTTAATTTTGTCCTTCCTAGACCTCTCCTGCTAGGAACTCATTCCAGGATCTCTCCTGATGGCAGGACTTGTGTCTCCCCCCCTGAATTGAAGACTCTCAGGGTTTAGTATGTCCCCTCAGGCAGTGGTATTTGGTCAGGGAATACAGGAGGAGCAGACGAGTCAGAGCCAGGGCACCAGAGTGTAGGATGTAGCCAAGTCCTTTAATGTCATGTGATCTTGGATCTGCCACTTAATATCTTTTTAGAAAAGATTTATTGGCCAGGAAGGAAGGAAGGGAGGAAGGAAGGAAGGAAGGAAGGTGGTGGTATATGCCTTTAATCCCAGCCCTCAGGAGGCAGAGGCAGGTGGATCTCTGTGAGTTCCAGGCCAGCCTGGTCTACAGAATAAGTTCCAGAACAGCCTGGGCTACACAAAGAAACCCTGTCTCTAAAAAACCCAAAATAGAAAAAGATTTATTGGTATTTACCTATTTATTTTGAGATGGGGTCTCATTATGTAGCCTTTGCTGGCCTGGAAGTTACTACATAGACCAGGCTAGCTTCAAACTCATAGAAATCCACCTGAGTGCTAACATTGAAGGCATGTGCCCTCAAGCCCAACTATTTTTTATTTTTAATTATGTGTATGAGTGTGTGTGTGAGGTGTGTGTGTGTGTGTGTGTGTGTGTGTGTGTGTGTGTGTGTGTGTGCAGGTACCCACAAAGGCAGAGTCCGGAGGCGACATATATCTTTAGAACTGGAGTTGTGGGTGTAAGCCACCTGAGAATTGGTTCTGGGACCTGAACTTTAGTTCCCTGGAAGCTGAGTCATTCTTTCCAGGTCCCCACTTAACATTTAAATGGGCAATTTTCATCACTGAAGAAAGAAAGTTAGAAAGGAAGAGAGACAGACACGGAGAGAGACAGGGAGGGGGGCAAAATACTTGGGCTCAGCCACAGAGAATGGTTAGAAGAAAACATGAGGTGGTAGATAAAAAGGGCTCTGAGAACTGGACCTGTAGCCTAGTGGTAGAGAGAGCTGCAGTATGCATAAGGTCCAGGGTTCAAATCCCTACACCCCCAAAAGTCATTTTAACCAGGCACGATTGCCCATGCTGGTTACTTCCAGCACCTAGGATAGGCCAGCCTGGGCTATACAGAAAGACCATCCGACCATCACCACCCTCAAGAAGAAAAGGAGGAGCCTGAAATGCAGGCAGAGTTAAGAGCACAGGCCCTTGTTGCTGGTTCGCCCACCTGACTGCTGCCTCCTGGTGGACTGGATGCTCCTGTGATGGCCCCCAGCCTCTGGGAAGCAAAACTCAATCCTACTTATAACTCAGTCCTCTTCCTGCTGTCTCTTCTGGGCCAGAGCTTGCACATCCTTGTCAGTCCCTGCTTCCTGAGAGCTTGGGAGACACTCCCCCGGCACACGGATGAAGAAATTCCTCCATCACTTTTCAGCCCCTCCCACCTGTTCTCATTAGCTGCCTTCCTGGGACAACCCCAGACTTCTGCCAACCCAGAATAAACTCCTTAAAGAACAGATGGAGTTGGGGGTGGATCTCAACTCTAACAAAGACAGAGTTCTGACTGGCTATGGTGGCACACTCCTTTAATCCCAGCACGCCAGGAGATTCTTGGTGAGTTTGAGTCAATTCCAGGGCAACATAGTGAGGCCCTGTCTCAAAAAAAAATTCTGTTCTCTGGGAGCACCCAATCTGATAAGCTTGCCCTAGGGTGCATCTTGTCTGATGGAGTGGACAAGATATATAATTATGAGAATTCACCTTCAATTATGAGATCCACCTGCCTCTGCCTCCCTTGGTGTGAGATTAAAGGTATGTATCATCACCACCGCCTTGCAGAATTCTGTAATTCTTTTGCAAAGTCCAAAGCACCCTTCTGACATGGCTCTCAACCCCCCAGAGTCTGCATTGTCTCCAGGACAATAGGCACCAATGAAACCTCTTTCTCATTGGCTGAAACCTATACAGAACAGTGTTGGACTCTGTGAGAACTCTGTCACCACCCAGAGAACTGACAAGAATCACCCTTGGGCACACATCTAGCAGATGACCCAGCAAAGTCTGTGCATAATATATCAACTTCCTATGCACACTCCTGCCTCTGTGCCAGGCCTGTCACCGCAAGTTCAAGTCTCAAGGTAAGGTGGGAGGAAGAGAAGAAACTGCAACCTAGAAGGTTCTACACAGAGACTCTAGGCAGAAGAGCTGGTGGTAGTGTAGAGAAAGCACTTGCCTTGTCTTCCCTGATACCTGTTGTGGCAAGAGAAAGACATCCACTTGCCAGAAAGATCAGAAGCCCAGAATCAAATTGGAAATTCTGCCCTTTCTCCTCCATATACTAGAGGGCTTCCAGACCCTGCCTCCTAACCTCCCAACTCTAGGGAACAAAGCACTACCTATCCACCAAAGAAATCCTACCTTAGGGACCTCTGAGCCAAGAGAGAACCCCAAAGGGGCTCTAAGCTTAGAGACACTCCTTAGAGGGTCTTTGAACTCAGCAAACCCCAGAGAGTAAGGCTGAGATGCAGAGAGCCCAGCACCTGCCTGTCCTCACCCATAATCTTTTCCCCCAGCTGCATGACTTCTCTCTCCCCACCAGCACTAGGAGTTTGTGCATAGTCTTCTGCTCACGTCCAGACCTCCTCAATGGAGCCATCAGTCTGTGTCAAGAGCTGCATATCCACCAAAGTGGTAAA